TGAACTTGTGTTCTCTCTCCCCAGCTCTGCCCCCAACCAAGTGCTCCTGAATTTACCTAGTTGGTGGGAACGCCACCTCTCCACTCAGTAGTCCAGCTGAAAACTGGATCTTTCCTCACTCCTCCATTCAGTCATCAGATCCCATCAACCCTAACTTTAAGGGTCTTTCAAATCTGTTTCCATCACACCAGCTGCTACATTATTTCCACCTGGCCTGCTGTTACATCTTCCCTAGGGGTCTCGTCTTCCATTCCGCATTCTATACCTCTCCATCACAGCACTTACTGTTCGGTCTCCGAAATGTTGCCTATTTCTGTCTCTTCCCATACCCCATGAGCTCTTTGACTACAAACATGATGATGGATGAGTAACTCTTGGTCCTTCAGATCTCACAATATCAGACATTCTAGGAAGTGAGATGAGTGTACCAAGAGAACTCCTTCTCCCCAAGCTTTATCCTGTCATAGCTAAATCTGAATTCGTGAAGCCTGAACATGATTTAAGTTTATCCTATAAATTCTAATTCCTCCCCAGCAACCCTTTCCCACCTTCATACCTGCTTAGCTTTGGGGTAGAATGTTCTGTGCCCTCTTTCCCTTTTTTTTCAAAAACCTATTTGTAGCAAAAGGACTTCATCTCTGCCTTCTATTCTCACAGCCATTTGCATCATTGGCCTTTTTTTTTTGACTTGCAGAAAGCAATCTCTGCCTGCATTCAAGGAATAGGGGGCTTTGTCAACATGGTAAATGTAGGAAGGAGAGCAGGGTGGGAGGGAGAGAGAATTCCAGGGAAAAGGCCTGGTTGGCTCTAAAATCACAGTCAGAACTTGAATCTGCCTCCTGTGCATTCAGCCAACTCTTGAACAAAAGCCCCAGCTTGTTTGGGCATATGTGTCCCACTCCAAATCCTCTGTCCTGGGACATTAGCTCATTATTACAGCTCTAGATCTAACAGGAAGAAAACAAAACTGTTGTTTTAGGACTTGGCTGTGGTCTGGGTCACCTGGGTAGGAGGAAGACAGCATTCCTCAGGGAGAGCACTGCTGTTATTCTGGGAAACCACCCTAATGGACTTAGGAAAAGTAGATACCCCAGTGGAATGTAGAGAGTCCTAATCTAATTGGGACAGAGGGGAGAAGGATCTGGAAGAGAGAGGAAGCCCTACCAACAGCGAGGCAGATGAGGTTCAAAAAGTAAGTATGGAAGATAGCTCTGGCCTGGACTTTCTTGCCAATTTTTCCATTAAGTAAAAGCTGCTCTAAAATTTAAAGTCTACTAATCTGAAAAAAAAGAAAGAAAGAAAGAAAAAGAAAGAAAGAAAGAAAGAAAGAGAGAGAGAGAGAAGAAAGAAAACAAAGAAAACAAAGAAAAGAAAGGAAAGAAAGAAAAGAAAGAAAGAAAAGAGCCCTCTTTAATGAGATTTTTTTTGTACTAGAGATGACCTGAGAACATCAGGACAGCTGTTGCCTACTCTGTGCTACAACCTCCCGTTACCCATCCCAGACATCCAGCAGAGTCTGCTGAAAACAGCTGCCTTGTGCTGGTGGTGCTTGGGGAAATGGAGGAAGAAGAGTAACATCCAGTGTGAGATGAAGTGATGAAAAAGACACAGCACTCATGAAGGGAAACCAAGTATTTGACACTGGCAAGAGCCTGGAGAGGGACCACAAGAATGCAGACCTCAAGGGATCTTTAGAACTGTGCTGTCCAACGTGGTAACCACTAACACTGCGGCTGCCACTACACTGCGCCTGCCACTAACACTGCGGCTGCCCCTAACACTGTGGCTGTCACTAACACTGCGGCTGCCACTACACTG